TATCTCAGACCACTGTAATACCCCCCACGACCTTCCCCCAACTTCAACAACAGCTGCAGTTCCAGAATCACACTAAACTCCGTCCCAGACATCGCCACTGCTGTACATGTCAGCTTGGATTACTAATTATATATGTACATTTTTATCTTAAATAGGATTAATTTCATGATAAATGTTTTTTATACAATTGACTGGATGTTTATTACAATAAAATTGTTAATCTTATGTTATTAAAGATTTTCTATGTTTTCTTTCGCATAAGGAGACCAACCTTGTTATATGCTTTCTTAGTCTAACAGAGCTGTGTTAATAAAAAAACCTTCACACATCTATTTTGTCATGTTGTCAAATCAGACTGAATGCTCTCCAGTGGTAGGTGAGTCCTTTGTGTTCCTGGACACCACATCAGTGGGGAAAATTTGAGGATCAGATCAGATGACTCTTCTCCCAGTTACTAAGAATGTAAGAACATAAAGAACTTTGCAGCAAGCCAACTGGCCCATGCGAGGTAATGTCCATGTCCACCTCCGGCTTAAACCAATACCCACCTAGTCAGCTCAGTCACATCCACTTAAGGAAGGGCACCGGCATCAGACCCTAGTAGCACATGAGCAATTCAGGTCCAACTTATACACACCCACTCGTGGATTATCCAACCTATTTTTAAAACCACACAACTCTTTTTAGCTACTATGACGTACTCGGAGTTTGTGCACTCCTCACAACTATTACCAACCCAGTCTTTCCATTACCCTTTCGGAATCTGAATATTTCCACTTAAAACCATTGTTGCGATCCTTGCCTTGGCAGATATTATAAGCACGCTAATTTACAACCCTTTATTTTTTTCCTTTTTCCATTATACACCTCAATCATATCCACGAAAATTCAACGCCTTTCTGGCTTATGGCACTGATTACTAACGGATACCAAACTTTTTGTTTTTTACGTTTACATCAACGAATTTGCATGCAATGCATTTTTCGTTTGAACGTTACGACGCAAATGTGTGAACAGTCAGCCTTAATGATCATGCAGACTGATCACTACAGCTAAAAGACATACCTCAAGGACGGCAGGGTGCATCCCACAGATCTAGTAAGGGATTCGCTAGTCTTAGTGTAATTGAAACCACTCTTCACAACTTCTGAGTACCCTATTGGGCACATAAGGCTAACACAACCTGCATCACATGTATCTCACTCACATTGTTCCTGTCAAGGCTCTAACAATAGAGCATGAAAGGCTCCTGATTCAAAGAAGTTTTCCCTTTTTCTCTTCCTTCCATCCTTTCCATTCTCAAGTCTGTATGACTCCTGTGAGTCTACATTTCATCGTGAAGTGTGTGCAGACTTGCACATGCCTAGCTACTTCCAGTAATTGCTAAATATATAGGAAGTCTTTTTATAACTGTGTTCACCCAGGACAATGACTGTCAGCCAAGAGTACTTTTATTCCCCGAGGGGAAGGGGTGAAAAAATAAAGCTGGGTGTACGAGACACTGATCATTTCAAAGTACTTTGTGATAGACATTGAAAAAATATTACATTAGCATTTTTTTATTTACTATTTTTCCTTACTTATGTGTTGTTTACCATTTCTTAAAAACGCTTTCATATCCCTTCATCCTTCACTTAATTGAATGCCCATGCGATTAACGGGAAATAAAGGCTATCAAGACTGAAAGGAAAGAAAATCCTTTGCAGGAAGTGATTCAACATTTCTGAGGTAACTATCACCACCGAGAGGTTAGGTTACTGATGGTTTGTTAAGAAACAGGACAAGTGTTTTCCTACGTGGGGTCTTACGTCATACTACGACCCATATCTGGAGCCTTGGCATCCGACTGAGATGTTCCATTCCACTAACTTACCCATCACCCTTTTAAAAATTGCGTAGTATGATTAAAACCACTATATATACACGGATAGTTGTCTGTCCGCTCAGTAAGGGACACGGAACACTTTATTTTCAGTCGGTTTTTCCATGGATAATAATGAATATAAAAACGATTTTATTGGACTGAAAGCTAGTGAAGCAATCTAAATTAATTTGAATCAACGACGGTAAAAACGTTGTGGTATGCACAACTCAGAACGTTGTCTGTGTGCACATCTCAGAACGTTGTGTGTGCACAACTCAGATCTTGTGGTTCACAACTCAGAACGTTGTGGTGTGCACAACTCATAACGTTTGTGGTGTGCACACCTCAAACGTTTGTGGTGTGCACAACTCAGAACGATGTGGTGTGCACAACTCCGAACGTTGTGGTGTGCACAACTCAGAACGTTAGTGGTGTGCCACAACTCAGAACGTTTGTGGTGTGACACTCAGAACGTTGTGGTGTGCACAACTCAAACTTGTGTGTGCACAAGAGTGGGGGAATTTAAAAGGGAAGGGAGTGGGGGGGGTGGTACTAGTCAGAGGACTCCTCTTAGACGGGGGGGGGGGGGTGGAGTTGGGGGTTATGTGGGGGGGGTAGTTTTTATTTGTGTTGTTTGAAAGGGTGTGGGTGGAAGGGTTGGGTTGGGTGTGGGAAGGACTCATTGAGAGTGGTTGGGGTGGTGGTGGTGATGGTGGGGGGGGGGAGGTGAGGGTGGTATGTGTGGGATAGATTGGGTGGATGTTGGGGTGGGGGAGGGTGGGGGTTTGTTTGGGTGTGGTGGGAGGTAGTGGTGGTATGAGTGGTAAGGAGGTGATTGATTTTTTTGTTGGAGGGTGGGTTTTTGAGTTGTTGTGTTGGGGTGGTGTGTTGGGTGGGGTGTAGTTTTTTTTGTTGTTTGTTATGTTGTTTGTGGATTGTTACAATGTTGTGTCATAGTTGACCGAATGGATAAGTACTGCAAGATCCAACCGTAGATTATCGTGCATTTCTACGAGACGTAGATTAAAGACACTCAGCAATACTAACCATTGTTAAAACAATTACTGAGTTTTCCGCGTTTTGTACACTCCACTTGGTAGGAAGTAATTAACCTCCCTGGGTGGTTTGCTGCTACCAACTACTTACCTAGGATTCACAATTCTTGAACTCATGTATAATAAAACATGGTGGGTGTTACAACAGCAAAGTGAATAAACACACAACACTACCTTATACACGGAAACAGATTAAGCAGTAGGCTTAGCTAAGCAGAGTAATATAGTATTTGGAATAAAACTGCCTCTACACAAGCCACTCAATAATGCTGTTTTGCCCTTGTATATAATTTTTCCTTTAGCCTCTTGATTAAGTAATCAACAATACTTTCAAACACTTTTACATTCATATTATACGTACTTGTCCACACAGCAGCCAAACTAAAATACATTATTAACATGTACATACACTTTAAAACATACCAACAACTTTTTTTTTTTTAAGCTCAACAGCTGCCTCCTGTCAAGGTAGGGTGAAAAAGAAGAAAGCATACTTGCCAACATTCAATCAAGTGTCCTGTTTCCAAAGTGGGCTGACATCATAGATTGCCCTCCAATTGTAACTTTCTCCATCCCTCCTTCAGAGTGTAGGCATTGCCCTTCCCACCTCTAGGACCCAAGTCCTGCTAACTGGTAACTGATGCACAAAATTCCACAGAGTTGCAGAAACCCAGATGAATACTGGATACTGGTTCTAAGAAATGACAGCTATGCACACAGTAGTCAATGAGACATTAAACATTGGGAGGGAAAAAAGCATGGGTTCCACAGAAAAATATCTGACCTATAATTACAAATCTATCACAGTATGAAAGTTGTTAACACTTACCAGTCATCGACACACGTAAATAAACATAAAATACAGTTCTGCATGTGGTCTCTGTGATTATATGGGATGAAATTTTTGCCTGTGATGAATAGTTGTGTGCCATCAAGTGGTTCACAGGAGGTGATGGTGTTCCCTTCATCAAATTTTTATTATTTACAATGAAACTGAACCCAGATACATCTCCAGTGAACCTTGTAGCGTCTGTAGTCATCCTTTTCCAATTATTTCCAGGAAAACAAAAAAGGTGAAGAAATATGTGAGATTAGAGTTGTTTACATCATGAAGCCTAAAACTAAATCCCTTCATGAATATTATCTTGCTCACATCCAGCAGCATGTAAATTCATAGAAACTACTTGTCTCAACTCACTTCAATCATAATGTGCTCACACATGCCTGTTGGATTGTTCGCCCCTTCCTCAATTCAAACCTTCCTGGATGACACCTAACCCATTTGGACCCCAGATTTAATACCCTCTGAATCACCCTTTTCTATTCCATTCTTTCCAGATGTACAAACTGCCTCAACAACCCCTTATCAGGCCTATGAATTACAGTTTTGGTAACCTACACTACTGCCTTATCTTAATCCTCAAAATCCTCTGCATAATATTTACACCACACTTTGCCCTCAAACATGATATTCCTACTGCCTCCAACCTCCTCCTAGCTGCAATACTTTAAATTTATGCCATGTACCCACATTAGTGTTGGTACTACTTAAGTACATTCCCCATTTTGCCTCTATGGATAAATATTTTTGTCTCCACAGATGCCTCATCGCACCACTCACTGTGTTTCCCCTCATAGTTTCATATTTGTATAGTCACTTATTTGCAGTGCAGACGTAACTTCTGACAAGTCCACTCCCATGTATCTGAATACATTAATTTCCTCTATACTCCCGCCTATTTAATTTTTCATTAGCTACTTTTTTCTTTTTTTTTGTTATTGTCATCACCTTGCTCTTTCCTATATTCACTTATAGTTTCCTTTACATCCCTCTCCCTAATTCACCCACCAACCTTTGTAACTTCATTTCGGAATTCTCAAAAGAAGCATGTTATCATCAAAAAAACTATAAATAGTCCACTTCACTCAAAATATCTTTTAAACTCAAAAACCTTCAACATCCTATTAAATTATATTGAAAATTCTAAATCTATAATGGTTACAAAACTGAGGAATGGAGGTAATCAGTTTGATATCACAAGAAGAGTAGCTCTAATTCCTAGATCCAAATATCCCTTTCAAGGGCCTTTCATGTGTAAATATACAAGATTACTAGCATACAGTGCTCACCTTCCTGCCAATGTACTTGTTGAGAGCCTTCATGATTGTGGAGGTTAGGAAGCCAGAAACATACATCACCTGTGGAATGTATGCCACAGAGTCCTGAGGCAGCTGAAGGGAGTCTTGTATATATATGGGGACATACGCTTGTGACAGGTTACAGAAGAGACGAGTTCCCATATAGAGCATAGCAATCTGGTAGAACTGTGAAGAGCTTGTATGAGTGAGCACTGCATCTGTATGTAATATAAAGCTTCCTGTTATAAACAAAGATGGCCTTTGCCATAAACCTTCTATAAGATGTACACTAAGCTGTTCATAATGTCAAAATTGGAGTGATTTTAATATTTCTTTGACTACTTTAAAATTACTACCTATAAAAGCATTCCATACAACAACTACAGTGTATCTATTAGTTTGCATATTATACAAGTGATAGACAATTGATCTAATACTGTATCTATGAAACCTATGTGATGTCAGGAACTGTATATGAAAGTGGGGTTACACAAAAAGATTAGACTGCAGAAGAATCCCTCCATATTAAAACTACTCATACCTTGTGAATTCAAGTGGCAGTCAAGCTCACATCCTATGAAGGTGTAGATGGTGGGTTACACTCAGCACATACTTAGGTCTGCTTAGAAAGAAACTGTTCCATTGTATTTACAAAATACTAGAATCTTTTGGAAATACAAGAGGGGCCCCACTTTAGACTGCTTAGCTTTACAGCATTTTGCCAATGTAGTGGTTTTCAATTATACCGTCTTCATTTGTTCAGACTTCCTACAATAAACATGTTCACTGCTCACTATAAGCTAAGGATGAAAAATATTTGAAGGTAAGTAATCTGTGTACTGATTATGCATTTTTAAGGCCTAGTTTTATTGCTTACTTAAAATGCATGATAGTGTAAACATGTTATCAGGCTTTTATGTGCATTTGAAAGTAAAAACAGGCTTATATTTCACTGTACAGCAGTAACCCCAAACCTAACCTGCTGCATAAGAAAGGCCGTCTTGTACAATGGTTTCAATAATTCCAATTCTATCTATATAACAAATATACACTATCAGTACCAACTTGCTCTCATGACCAATTCACTCTCATAGTACATAAATCATAATCACAATACAATTAAAACTATTCAAATTCTATATTCTGCAATCCACATCCATGTCATTACACAAGAGTGTGAGCAAACTTAAACAAAAGGAGAAACATCACCATATATATAAAGCTGAAAGAAATGCTGGCACAGGCAAGCACCATGTGGGGGGAGTGACATTCCTCCAAGAGGCCCCCCCCCCCAACCCCAAGGCACAAACCCCACCATTACCAGTTAAGGAGCGCCGAAATGTCAAGTGGGAAGAGGTGCTTGGAATTACAGTGCAATCTTTGTGCTTACCAGAAAACACTGGCTGTTTACCATGAAGTAGGGTTACGAAAAAAAAAAAAAGTATAGCCCAAATGACCCACTCATTTTTAAAAGTGCAGACACTGTTCTTGGAGCATCTCAATGTAATGGTAACCAATACAGTCAGCTCAGTCAGCATACACCTATGCTATTAAATGGCTTACAGAACAAGTTTTCGCAAACCCTCTTTCTCATTAATGGGGACAAATATAAAACAACAGAGTAGGAATGTAAAAGAAGAAATTAAAAGTGAATATAGGAAAGAAAAGCGTGATGAGATAAAAAATTAATAATATAAGACTTGATACAGATTGGAGGGAGAAAGTGAATGTATTCAAATATTTGGAGTAAAGTCAACAGATGGTCCTATGAAAAAGGTTAATCATAGAAATTGATGAGAGAACAAGGTGATTGGTGCACTAGAGTCTGTGGTGACAAAGAACTATATCCATGAAACAAAGAGGAGAATGTTGCCAACAAGAGAGAAGTCATGTCTAGACAATGTGGTGTAATGAATAAATTGCAGAAATCGTATTTGGAGATTTTGAGGAGTGCGGATAACCAAACTTATCCAAGGGCTGAGAGAGTTAATTGAGATGGGGTGGACGTGTAGGAGATGGAAACAAAACAAATGACTTCGAGAGTGAATAAAATCTGTGTGTGGGAAGGAAGGGTATGTCAACCTAGGAAACGTTAGGAGGGAGGGGGTAAAGGGGATTTTGTGTGCGGGGGCTTGGAACCTCCAGCACTGTGCGTTGTTAGGATAGGAGCAAATGAGGTAAATGATTTTCAGGACTTTGACATGCGTTGTTGGAGTGTAAGCAAGGTAACATTTATGAAGGGATTCAGGAAACTGTGCAAGCCGACCTATTCCCCTGAGATGAAGTACAGTGCTGGCTACTCTGAAGGAGGGGTATTAATGTTTCCAGTTTATTTTAATTGTCGTCGTAAGCATGCTCTGCAAGACAGTGATGGATGTGAATTATGATGAAAGGTTTTCTCTTTCGGGTTTTCCGGGCCACCCTGTCCTTGGTGGGAAAATGGCCGGTTTAAAAAATTAATAACAAGAAATGAGAACAGAAAGCAGTATTAAGTAAAAATAAATTTAACAAGCTATGAAGTTTCCTATACCTGATGCCTCCCATTCCTACCCTCAAGTTAATGAAAACAAAAATGTTGTTTTACTTAAATTCTTACTAACCCCAGTCAGGTTATTCTACATAAATATTTGTTCCTCTAACAAACTGGACGTATCCCACCGAGGCAGTGTGGCCCAAAAAGAAAAACGAAAGTTTCTCTTTTTAAATTTAGTAATGTATACAGGAGAAGGTGCTAGCCCCTTGCTCCAAGAATTTCTTAGTCGCCGTCCTTCCGACACGCAAGGCTTAAGATGAAAGAAATCTGTTCCTACTCCCCATGGAGATAAGTGAAAATAAACAAGAACTAGGAAGAAAATAGAAGAAAAAACCTAGAGGGGGTTTGTATATACAGTGGAACCTCTACTTGCGAGTTTTTCCAAATACGAGCAGTCGATGGGTCGATTTTTTGCTTCCATACACGAGCAAAATTTCCATAAGCGAGCAGACCTCAAGGCAGGTTCCTTGACACTGGTGAGGGGTTCTTGCTCTTGATCTCGGGAATTGTATCTCAATTGTTTGTTGGACTATCTTATTGAAACTTGGGCAATGTATGATGGAAAGATGCTTCTTAATGTACACCAAAAATGAAAGAAACCTAAGCACAAATAATGGAGTTCACTTCTCAGTAATTAGCCACCCCTTAGGCGTATTTTCGTATGGCTTTTATGGGTGTATTCTCATTTTTTTGGTCTCATTTGATAGAATGGAAGATATATTACAGAAAAGATATGATTAAGATTGCTTTTCACGATGAAAAATACCTTGAACTGAGCTCAACGTAGGATGAAATAGTCATTGCATGACTAGTTTAAGAGTAAACTAATGACATCACTGTCCATTCCAATATGCCGAGTCATGATTGGGTTGACATTATTTATACAATTATTGCAATAAGGAATAACAATAAATCTTATATTTTTTGGGTGAATAAAAATTACAAATTATTTCTTCTCCTTCTTCTTTCAACAAAACCGGCTGTATCCCACCGAGGCGGGGTGCCAAAAGGAACAACTAAAGTTTCTTCTCCTTTTACATTTTAGAAATATATACAGAGAGCAAAGGATTACAGCCCCGTGCCCCACACTTTAGTCGCCTCTTACAACCCGCATGGCTTACGGAGAAGAATTCTGTTCCACTTCCCCATGGAGATAAGAGGAAATAAACAAGAACAAGAACTAGAAAGAAAATAAAAAACCCAGAGGGGTATGTATGTATATATATGCTTGTACATGTATGTGTAGTGTGACTTAAGTGTAAGTAGAAAGTAGCAAAACATACCTGAATCTTGCATGTGTACGAGACAGAAAAAAAGAAAGATACCAGCAATTCTAACCATCATGTAAAACAAGTACAGCTTCAGTTTTATTACACTCACTAGGCAGGACGGTAGTACCTCCCGGGCGGTGCTGGCTACAACCTCATTAACTAGGCAAATTATTATAAAATATAATAATAATATTAATCCATGGGAAGTGGAACAGAATTTCTTCCTCCGTAAGCCATGCATGTCGTAAGAGGCGACTAAAATGCCAGGAGCAAGGGGCTAGTAACCCCTTCTCGTGAATACATTACAAATTTTAAAAGGAGAAACTTTTCATTATTTTCCCTTTGGGCCACCCCACCTCAGTGGATCAGCTGGACGTTGAAAGAAATAATAATATGTAAATAAAAAATAATTATAGGTAGTGAGGTTGGTAGACAGCAACCGCCCAGGGAGGTACTACCGTCCCCAAGTGAGTGTAAAACGAAAGCCTGTAATGTTTTACATGAATGGTAAGGATTGCCTGGTGGCCTTTTTTTCTGTCTCATGAACATGCAAGATTTCAGTACTATTGCTACTTCTACTTACACTTAGGTCACACTACACATACATGTCCAAGCACGATAAACACACCCCCTCTGGTTTTCTTCTATTTTCTTTCTATTCTTATTTCTTGGTTTTATTTCCTCTATCTCCATGGGGAATGAACAGATTCTCCTCCGAAGCATGCGTGTTGTAAGAGGCAACTAAAATGCCCGGAGCATGTGGCTATTAACCTCTTCTCCTGTATAATATTACTAAATGTAAAAGAGAAACTTTCGTTTTTCCTTTTGTGCCCACCCCGCCTCGGTGGGATACGGCCGGTGTGTGAAAGAAAAAGAAAAAGAATAAAAATAATATTTGTAATAATAATATGTATAAAAATAATATGTATAATAATAATTAGTATAAAATCGATAATATCCTACTGAGCATAGGTAAAATGAAAGGGGGTAAGTTCAGCCGGAATGATGGATAATGATAGAAATGTTAAAACAGTGGGGATATAGTGTTTGGAGTGGTTGGGGCAATTAATTTAATAAATGTATGGGAAGAGGTAAGGTACCTAGGATGGCCAGAGAGCATGCATAGTCCTTTTGTATAGAAGGCAAAGGGATAAAAGAGAGTGCAAAATTAATAGGGATAAGTCTGTTGAGTGTACCTGGTAAAGGTATGGTAGAGATTAAAATTGAAAAACTAGAGTAAGACGGAGAATAGGATAGCAGATGAACAAGAGGCTTTAGGATAGGTAGGGGGTGTGTGACCAGGTGTTTACATGAAACATATAAGTGAACATTATTTAGATAAGCTAAAGAGGTCTTTGTGGCATTTATGGATTTGGAAAAGG